CACGTAGGGTCAATCCGGATTTAGCAGCAGGCCGATTAGTCCAAAATAAAATAGTTAGAAATTATTTTACTTGAATTACACACAATATTAACTCTTTATAATTATTAGATAAATATATAAAATAAAAGACAGAAAATTCATTTCTTAACAATCGTTTATTTATTATTTATTAATCAACTTTAATTTATATATTATTTAAAATTCGTTTGTATCACTGCGTGTATGTACGTTTTAAGTAAAATCTAACATAAGTAAAAGTAACTCTCTCTTACATTAAAACTACATAAACTTTTTTATTTTAGTATTTATTTAACACCTAAGTATTTCTAATTTTTGGCAAATATATTGGTAAATTTTCGTAATACACTTCTGTAGTATGCAAATATCACAATAAGAATGTGTGTACCTTGACAAATAAAAATACCGACTAGTGCTATATAATTGCTAGTGACATAATTTTGTAAATTAAAATTAATTACGTAAATAAAAATAAAATTAGTATGTCACACACATTACATGAAAAATTACGAATAAACATAAAATAAAATGTAAAAAAAAAAAACATTTTCTTAGAAGTAATATAATATTCTTAAAGCAAAAACCGTAGTTAAAATGAAAAAATGAAGATTATAATAACATACGAGTATAATCACATCGTGCTGCAATTATTTTTTGCACATTTCTTCGCAGCCCTTGCCATGCGCTCCTGAGCTTTGTGTGGCCGTTCTTTTCTTACATAGTATGAGGTCGTCGCAGAATTTCTTCTTCATAGTATATGTCTTTTCTGCAACATCGGCTAATATACGGGTAGAATCTTTTACTTCATTTACTTTTTGCCTCGAGGATATCCGTTTCGACTTTGTCAACGTAGATGGATCGTAATTTTCAGTATTTTCGTTGTTGTTATTAATATTTGATGTTTCGATGATTGCCTCACTTGCCTGTATAGCAGAACCAGCTACTGAAGCTTGAATGACATTATAGTCATCAATGTCATCATCAAGATATTTTATATTTTCTGCTTCTACCAAGTCATCCTACAAATATAAGTAGCAATTAATAATTCTAATTATTTATTAAACTAAGAAAATAGCATTATAAAAAAATTTTTATTACAAACCTCTTCGCCCAAAGTAATGTCCATACATGATTCCGAAATATCTGCATGACCCTTAGTTAATGATGTTGGAATTAAATCCAATATGTGGCGGTCAGCTGTCCGCCTGCCGCCACGTGCGCGCGACCATACATACGCTACACGAATAGTATGACGGGAGGCGCGCGGCGCGCAGCACGGATAGTAGCGTAATATCGATCGGCGCGCGGCATGAGTATCGACCGGCGGAATAGTTCGACGCGCTCCGCTGCGCGGCGTATCTCTCTCGTAAGTAAGGTTCGACATCGATCCTTATATAAAGGGCAGCTCAGCGGGACCTCTCCAGCGATCTTCGAGAACGCCAGTCAGGGCGTGCTACCTATCGGGGGCCCCTGACATAAGTCTCTTTTGATACGAAGTGTTGCTCGACAGTGGGCCTTCGTAAAACACCTGCTTGGCAGGGCGTTAACTACAGTAAGAGACAACCAGCATCCTGCCGCGGAAAGATTTCCGGGGTCATTGCGACCCAGCCCATTGGGCGACTCCATATCCGGCTCCTGAGTCCAAGGCGTTGCCTCCTGCGAACCTGACTCCGGCTCCTGAGTCCAAGACATTGCCTCCTGCGAACCTGACTCCGGCTCCTGAGACTAAGGCGCTGCCTCCTACTACGGCCTCGGCTCCGAGTACTCCGGCTCTCGTGACTCCGACTCCTGCTCTTGTGGACCCGACTCCTGTTCCTGTATCCAAGACGAAGGATCGCATCGTGATCACAAAGGTAGAAACTCTACCACCTGGGAAACGTCTCCTACAGAACAAATCCAGGACTAAGTGGAGATTTACCCCGATTGCCAAGTGGGGTCATACTGACCCAGCGACATTACAATCGGTGGAATTAAGATCGTCATCTATACCGAGACCGACTCCAGTCCTACCGAGCCCTACACCAGCTCCTGTTCCTGAGGCTACATCACGAGATCCGAACTTGTCCTCCGAGGTAGAAACCTTTCTACCTTGGAAGCTAATACCCATCACCGATCTGGCTCCCGAAGACGTATCGGCTTCTGAGATCCAGGCGAAGGACGCTATCCCGATCTCCAGGATAGAAACCTTTTTACCGTGGAAGCTCTATCCAATTGATCTTCCACCAAGAGCTCCACGTGTCCGACGCCCTCTTCATCCCATTGATCCAGAGAACTCTGTGGCGACGCAGACCTACCATATCTTCAAGACGCCTATACGACCACGATTCCTGAAGACCCGACTGAGTCCTATTCCATCCACTCCAATAGGCAAGCCTAGGACTCCCGGACGGAACCTGGTGGTCCCGCTAGAGAATTTCTTCGAGAAGAAGAAGTCCATCATTAAACAATTATT